AACACTGGTTAAAAAAGCTGCATGCACACTTGCTTCAACTAATCTTAGCCCAAATTGCCTTTGATGAGATACTCAAAGAGAAAAGCAGCTCAACCTAAAGGTGAGGTGAAAAGACAACTGTAAACACAGATACTGAGAACAGAGACTCCACATGGTAAAATACATTTCCAAGTTTTCAGAATTGGATTATTACTCATGTTACCTACATGCACATTCATTTATGCCAGCTCGTACATTGACAAGGAAGTCTCCCTAACTCATAATTCAAACTGGGGCTTTCACCTACAGATCTTAAAAACTTGTTCAAGCACACATATAAATTGAGTATGCATATCTTTACCATACTTTTTCTTTACTCTATTTCCAACATCTTTACTGAAATGCATACCAAATTCAGTTTTCCTGAGACATATTCATGAGGTATTTGCAAATGCAAAACTGTATTTGTAAAAATCAACAGGCAATTTGAACCTCATATGCCTCACACAACTTCCATATTCTCTCCATTGGATACTTATTTCATTTTAAAACTTCAGTTCAATGACTCCATAACCTGTGCCTATGGTAACATCACCATCCTAGATTCAAATTGTATGCACTAAAAAAATCTTTCATTTTTTCCAACATCATCTCCCCTTAAGGAAAAATATTTTTATGGACTTTATCATCATTTTTCTAATATCATAAAAATGTTATTGTGTATTAATTGCTCATTGAACCCATCCCTACGACAAGTTCATTGTCTCTGTACTTTTTTCTCCTGTCTGAAATGCTCTCATCAACTTCATTTCTTGTCTATATCATACTCTTCTTTCATCTCCCAGCCATATTTCCATCTATGCTTTCTGAAAATTTACCCCATATTCTTCCTCTGTCAATAGTCCTGCTGAACTCCCATATTATTTATGGCCTCTATAACTAGCATTGCCTTCACTATATGTACCTTCTTCTACTATTTATCTTTTATCAGTGGGAGCTGTCCTGCAATCAAACATTCTGTTACTGCAACAAATACTAATGGAGATAGCCATTGGGCTGTGAACTGGGAATATGAAAATAAAAATGTGGTCTTTTACCCTCATGAAGTTCAGAGTAGAGGTGACAGGTCGAAAAATGAAAAATAGAACATAATTTTTTACTATGGATGATATTTTTGTGAGATGAAGTGGTAGAGTGATCAGGAAAGTGTTCCAGAGGGAGGTATACTTGAATCATGAATGACAAGTGGGTGACACACAGAAGTTCAAGATGGAAAAGAAAGTTTCAGACAGAGACTGCAGGCAGTGAATTTCTCCAGGGCACACTGCACTTCAGCTTCAGTGCCTGGACAAAAGACATGCAGCGTGTCCCTCGAAGTGACAACAGTGATGGAATTTAGCAAACCACTGCAAGGAACACCTTTTTAGAAAAATATGACTGTTTCCTATGAAATGAGTCATAAGACATTGACAATCCTTTGAAAGGTGCTGATCTGCAAGTCTCTGTATATTCAGTGAAAACAGTAAATCCTAAATCAAATTTAAATACTGCCTCCTCCAGAGACATAATTGCGTTTCCTTAACCTTGTAGCATAAGGTTCAACTCCTCTGAATGATAATGTCAATGAGGCAATAAAATGCAAGCATCCAATCTCAGGCTAGAAGTTTGATGTATTTAATATCCAGACCCAAAAAGTAACAATCTCATTCACATGGTTGACAAAGTGAGACCTAACTTTGTCACTGATAACCATAATCATTGTTAACAAGGTTAAACATTAATAGATTGGAATATTTTCAATATATTCCCTCAAGCACTGTGATAATACAATAATGATGAAAGTACTGGGCAATACCCCAAGTGACAATTAAATGATCAATCCTATTACCTCTCCAAATTCTGTTCCATATTACTGCACTTTTTGATACTTGAGTAGCACAAATTCAACCATGAGTGCCTTGGTCACTTTGAGAATAAGCATCTCTGTTTCCAACCAAATGAAGTATGCTTTCTTTGTTATCAAATATTAAAAACCCAAGTTGTCAAATATTTGCTGCCTTTATAAACAAAGTCAAACAAAATGTTAAGACTGTGCATATTCCCTGCTGGACTTTCTACTAGTAATTCTAAAAGCATTTGCATTGTAATGACACCAATAAACTGTTTCAAAATAAATGGCACTTTAATTGTCCTTTCTAAAAGAAATACATGGCCTATAAGTTATGCTAAGAACTGTCCATTTGATGAGCTATTCTCTTATTTATGCCAAAAATTCTTTCTGCAATTACATTTTTAAAAATTCTTCCTTCATGAGATTTATATTTATAAACTACTGCATGTAGACAGATTGGCATAGTTCCCAGTTTAAAATACTGTATTTCTTGACTAATACCTAATAGGTTATTTTATCCAGAATCATTTTTTTTCCAGAACGGCTCTCTTGAGACTTGAATCACCCTGCAGGTATTTTATAGTAAATTATACAAGTTTTATCATTAAACCTTAATATTGTGAATGACTATGTCTAAGAACAGTCTGAAGTCTCATCTCTGAGTAGTCTTTGTCTGAGAACAGCCACTCACACCCTACCAACAAGAATGAATCATCCCCACCCCTGTTGAAAAATGGCCTGACTTATGTTTCATTTTTTCCTGTAGCTTAGCTTAAGATTTTCTTGACTGACCAGATAAAAATATGGGGGAAATCCAAATGAACAGAAATCAGTTTAAAAACTAGCTTTAGTAATTATACTTTTCATGCAAACATTTTTTTAATTTAAAGTAAAAATATATATTAATAAATACTGAGATTTCTGATACTTGGAGTATCAACAAAATTTAGTTCTATTGTATTATGGACATTTATTTTCACCATCTCAATCTCATCTTCATGAATATTTTATCTATTATTCTCAATCAACAAAATTCTCCTTTATTAGCTCTTTGTACCTGGTTTTCCTCCAAAGGCTCTGGTTTGCATATAAGAAAAATGCTAGCAATTCCATTTCATATCACATAAAACAATTACACTAAGCCTTTGCACTAAAGTATTCAAAGATTAATGCTTGGAATCCTTAGTTGATTGTTTTTTAATATCACTCATTTAAACTATGTTTACACACACACACACACACACACACACTTGCATAATCTACTTTAAAATTAAAGAGTCCCATAGCTTAAAGTAAGAAGAAAAAAATTTACTTTTCCCCAAAGAATTCTTTTATAAACCTGGTTTTTCTACTTTGTGTCACTCCCAGGTCTCTTCTTACTTTATGCATATAAATTCCATCAAACTACAAAAAAAGTGTATCATTAGGATACCTTTCAGGATAATTAGACTAAGTATTAGACTCACTTAAATGGGCTCATTGTGGGCTACTTACTCATTTAGATTTCTTTTCATGCCAGGAGGCCTATTTTGAGAAATTCGTGTATTAGTGAAAACTCTGTTCTTTTATATGTGTTATTAAGGAACTTGGGAATCTTATTAAGAAGGCTAGGTCCAGTCTCATAAAAAATGTGAAAGGAAAAAAATGGGCCAAGAAATAAAAAGTGAAATGTCCCATTTACTTTCCAAATGAAGTCTCCATAAACATAGGAAGAACAATAGGTGATAATGTGGCCTTATGTAGATGCCTCTTACTACCACATCTCTAAGACTTGTCCATAGCAGGATGTGGGAGGGCAAAGGTGCTTCTGATTTGGGATATTTAAGATTCTTTTATCAAACATCCTTTCTGTATGATTTTCCAGTTAATCAGAGAAGACCAAACTCTGGCTTGAGTATCGCTCTTTTCTGGCATAGAATATGACTCCTAAAGAGACTCTCCCCTCAATGCCTCATGAAACCAGAAAGGCCAAGGTCTATCAAAATGCCTGAACTCTATGAGGGACTTTCTACATCTGTACTTTGGCTGCAATTTGTATTCTAACAGTCTGAATAGCTCCACCCTGGACATTTTAGTCCTAGGAGCATTATCAGAATTTTTTTTTTTTTTTACCTTATTGCCAGAATGTGAAGTTTTCAATTCTAGCTTATAGGACCCTGTATTTCAAATTCTATGGTTTAAAACTACTTGAGCTCTGCAGAACCTTGAGGTAAAGAAGTAAAGTAATTCCTCATTTATGACTTCCACCTCCCAAGTTTCTGAATAAAGTTCAATGCTACCTACCTCCTGGCATTATTTTGGGGATATATAAATATATTTGCAAGAAACCAGGTACCAACATAAGTCATCAATAGACATAAAGTTTAGTTATATTCATAGGAAGAGAGTGAGAGAAAGAGATTGACAGAGACCAAGAGAATAAAAAAGAGATTGTTTGAGTTTACCAAGCATATACAGAAATCCTAAACTTTCTCAGCCCTGAATAGCTTAAGAAAATTTGAGTGAAATATTTTCATCACATTTCATTATTTCATCTTTCTTCTCTTTCAAAACTTGTTTTGTTTGTTCCCCATCTCTTTTAGTACTTGAAGTTGCCCCGCTGCCTCATTCGCATCTGTCTCATCCACTGGGAATCACCTACCTTTCTCCCTAATTCAATCACCATTACACTTTTGGTGTCCAAATTATCTGTAGCCCCTGTTATCTACATGCCTGCTGCTTCTTTGTTTTGCTGTCATCTTTCAATGGCTCTGGTAATGACCTATGGAGCTTCAATCACTTGTGGTTTGTGAGGCTGTGAGTACCCTTGGGTGGAATCATCTCTCTTTATCTTAGTAGTTCACTCAGTTCAAAATTTCCATTCAAAGTTAAAGGTTAACAGTCCTGAGAGCTGGAATGTACATTTAGTCCGGTACTTTAGTATCTCTGAGACCCCAAACTATTAGGTCTCAGGGCCCCACTTGCAGCCACTTCCCATTGGGACTAGCTCCCGGGGTCATCATGAAGGTTAAAATGGAACAATACTGAAGCACACTGCAAACACTTAAGTGATATGTAAACAAAAGGGAACATGCAAAACACCTGCTGGGAACTTCCTCCCTGGGAGATGGAAATGGGACGTTGTCCTCACCTCTGGATTCATGGAACTCCAGTGTGACATGAGCATCAAATCCAAGGCTGAAGTAATTATTGAAAACATTCAGAGGAAGCTGCAATGATAAACAAAGACAGAGGTAAACTATATGTAGCTGGTTAGAAAGAGAAAATAAAATCTAATGCCAGTTACTTAGTTCTGGGGCCAGTCCCTGGGAGAAATCAGCCACAACCCAAAGCAGGTAGAAAGAGTAGGGTTCATGAATTAATTCTTTCATGAAAGTCCAAATCAAGTAACTAACTCAAGAATTATAAATTGTATAAGGAATAAGAGCTGTAGATATCAATTATTAAATAAGAATCACTCTCACACATGTTGCAATAACTGAAACTTGTTAATCTCAGGGTACACATCTGCGATAGCTATAAAGTTCAGTTCACTAAGCAAACTTAGAAAGCCAATTCAATTGTAAGGATAATGTCTAACGGACCTAATCAGTGGATACACTTTTTTCAAGAGTTCATATTCAGCATATGAATATTGTAACTTAAAATGAACAATATATAATCTGTTTATACCCTATCTTAATAATTTTTATGACAAAACTCATAAAAGAAATAAGGCAGTGAAAATCATTCAGGTATTGTTGATCTAAAGGGAAGATAAACACCCAAGTGTGTGTGTATGATACATATATATGATATATGATACATGCATATGATATGTATATACATATGTACATACACCAGCAAAATTCAGATTCCCATTTAGTTTATCAAGCCTGCATCTTTGATATGGCTGAAGTCTACAAACACCCACACAGAAACACACGTTAGCTTAACTATCCTGCGCACAGCCTTTGGGGCCCTGGCTGCTCCTGCTTCAAGTTGGTAAAGAAGAAAGCTAAACAGTCTAAAACCCCATGTTAAAAATTGTGAAATATATATCATGTTAAAGATTTGGTTAAGTGTTAGAACAGGTAGAAAAATGCAACATGGGAAACTGAAAGGTAAACATTAAAGTAAATAAAGAGAGGTCAAATTCACAGTTAATTATCAGGGTTGTGTCCCAAGCTGAACTGCACCTCTCTATTATCAGAAGTAAGCGTTTTAACCCTCACGGTTTCAAAAGTAAGCTTATTACATGGCTTCACAGGCCTCACAATCACAATCTATAAGATTTTATGTCTTACTACTGGGAAAACAAAATAAGAGAGAAAGAGCAAGAGAGATACCAATGCAGAAAGAAAGACCTTAGATTGCCTGGGTCTCTAATGGAAGTAAGGAAAGACCCCAAATGCAAGCCTCAGAATCTGAGCCTATAATGACCCAGAGGCTAACTGAACCCCTAGAAATGGTTTTCACTAACTGGAGAGCCAAGAGAGAAATTACACACATAGAACAAGGCCAAAATCATGTCTGTCTCTCCTGGCTTCATATTTGAGAAAGTCCAGTTCCTGTACTTAAAATATCAGTTCTAAGTGAGGACAGTCTGGCAATCCTGCCAAAACCACACACATGTTCTCCTCCTCTGCCATTTATGTCCTTTTGGCTACAATTCTAACCCATGTCTTAGCATCCACTGATGGTTAAGGAAAACATCTGGTCACAATCCCCCTAAATAATGTCCCAATTTAACTTGTTTTTAAGCTATTCATATTTTCCAAGAAAATGTGCCCCTATTTTCCTACACATCTCCTCAAAACTCAATTTCCAAAGCCCTTTAATTATCTGTACTGATGTTCCCTGGCTACATGGAGAAGTCTTTCCATTTCTTAAACTGTTGGGAAGAGAATTAAATGTGGACTTCAGTTATAGGCCAAACCATTCCAAATTTGGTAGAAGGGCCTTAAATTTTTCATGTGGTAACTCTTCTTTCTATTTTAACTATTTTCTATCCAATTTCTATAAGTTCAAATAAATACATCTGTTAAAAGTATTATATTTCTGGCTCAGTGGTCAAGTGCCCCTGAGTTCAATCCCTGGTAACCCGTTCCCCGCCAAAAGGATTACATCCTTGTTGTTTAAACTGCATCATTACATTATACACTCAATTATACATAATGAACTCAGCTTAGCTAAAACCTCCTATACATAAGGGACATTTGATTCAACGGAGCAGTCATGGTGTGTACTAGAAACTTTATTAAATATAGAATCACAATTTTAGGTGAAAAAACTAGGAAGACAAGGTGAAACATATTTTAACCAAATAAGAAACTTGAAAGCACCTATCACAATTGGTCAGGATCATGGTGCTACTGAATGAATGGACTTGGCCTAAATGATGTGGCGTTCAGTCTACTTTAAGGCTGAAAGACCCATGAAATCTTGGCCTCATCAATGGCAGGGTACAACATAGCAGGGATGCTGTTTCAAGTGTAGATGCCTGGGCCTTCTCCCCACATTTAATTCATCAGGATGCCTGGTGAGTGAGCTCTGAAATCTTGCCTCTAACATACACCTGGAAATTCTTGCACATACAAAAGTCTGAAAACACTATCATAGAAGACAAGAGGAAAGTAACACAGAGAAAGCATCTTCTCGGTAAACCACCAAATTTAACAGAAATTGAGGCCAGAACTCAGAACCAGATGTTCTAGGGAAGATGCACAACAGCACTATCTATAAATATAGGCCCTTGGTTTGGCTTGAAATGAAAGCTCAGTAACTAGAAGAAAACACTGAGGCAAAGCATTTATTTAGGCATCTTCAACTCCCAACCAGGTGAAGAAATTGGCTTAGTTCAAACCTCCTACACATAAGGAATATTTGATATCAGGCCAGACATCTCAGGAGGTTTTCTTTCCACTGAAAGGACCATATGCTTGATGCTTTGGAACACGTACATATTCCATCTTCTCATAAGTTGTTTACAATTAACTTGGATGATTAAAATAGGGGATTCATGCCTTGCTAGTGTGAAAGTTAAAGACAACTTCCTAAGCTCTGGAAGCAAGCATGAAATCTGAGTCTTTAAAGAGGGTCCACGGGGCAGGTTCCGTGGGGGTGGTGCTATTACTCCCACAGCCCCGGGAGACAGGAACTCAAATGCTGCCCTGTTATAGGAAGGAATCAGCCCAGGACTCTACAGCCAGAAATGTGTTTCCTGTGACTTAGGAAGATGCTCCGGGGCTCCTTTCTGCTGAAGGAAGGACTCTCTAACCTTACATACGCCATCTTCAAGCTCTTCTGGAGGCAAGTCTGGGTTCCTTTCCACATGGAGGTTCCAGCGATCTAGCTGTACAATGGTCCCGTCCTCCACCTGGCATAGGATCTTAGAGACCGGCTCATCTGTGTAACCCTGAGGACAAAATCAAAGAAGACACCCATTGCTGTGGGGAGTGAAGCAACGCCTCTGATCCTACAGCATGCAAAGAAGGGTCCTTCTGCTATGGCTCTGCTTATTTTGATGTTAGCCAGGCTGGGAGAGCAAGCTGCTTTTCTCCAGGTATTAAAACATCAGGCAACACCTATAGGCAAGGGACTTAAAACACTCACTCTCACTGATTTAAGCTGAAAAATAATTTTTTTTCCCAGCACCAAGAGCCAGTGGTGGGCATTGAGGGTCATGCTGGAGGGCTGTTTTTATTGGAGTAAAAAATAGGACTTTCATTCCACTTACTAGAGCAATTCAGGGGTACACAGAACAAATGTGTGTAGAAAAGGAAGAATCAAGTCAGGATTCCAATCAATCAGTTTCTCCTACTATCATTCCATCTCAGTCACCCCTCCCTGGTGGTGTCTCAGTCCACCATCCTTCTGTGACCTGAGGCAAATCAGACTGAGGAACCTCTTAGGGAGCTACTCATTCCTCCTGGATGCATTGTGGACAGTGTGATTATTAACATGTGAAGCTAATTGGGATGTGAGAAATGAGCACTGATAATCCCTTAGTTGCTGCATATGAATATATTTACTTACATATTGCTGACTATAAACCACAAAGCAAAATGAAATTCTATAAAAGGTTAATGTACCCAAAGGCCAGATTAATGTCTGCTGAAGATCATTTTCATATGAGATGGAGACTTATGTGAGTAGGTAAAAGGTAGGTATGTATGGCGGTATACGTTAGTATCTTGTGCCTTCTTAATATTTTAGTACTACTCAATCAAACAATAACAATAGGATGGCCAGTTAGTGACAAGAGAACTACTTCCCCCCACACTTGCCTTAAGATGCTCCATATTGGGAAGGAGAGTCGAATACCTGTATAGCCAAAGCCATGATAACACTGATCAGAAAAAAAACCCATGCTCAAAAAAGCCATAAGGTAAGGATTTTACTGCCCAAAAGTAGGACCGTAGATCTAAATCTTATTTGTTATTCTAACCAGGGCTGAGAGCAGGATTAATTCAAATTTGTAAGGACTGGAGACCAACCCCCCGACACTATGTCCTAGTAGGCACCTCTTAATACCCCACCCCTGTGTTTTGACCACACATTTTCCTCATTCTGAACTTTCCCTTCCCTCTAGCTAATGGTAAGTTTAAAGTGAAGAAGCTACCAAATAAAATCAGGGTCATGGGTACTTTGACTCCCATTTCTAACTCATCTCTTGGGCACCAACAGCATCGTGCCTCCCTCTAAGAATCTTCCCAAGCATGTGGGGGATCCAGGGATGCTGTCTGCTCCTGTGGTAGGGGCAGCCTCTGAGAGCGATGCTTACCCCGCCCCAGTTGAGAGTTCGAGCCAGGTCATTGCCAGTCCCCAGAGGAAGGACCCCTACAGGAGGCTGGGGGCTCAGCTGCAGCTCATCCAGGATGGAAAGGATCCAGCCCACCTACAGACACATTGGGGACCAGAAGACAGAAAAGAAAGATAAATAAGTTACAAAGAAGACAGTTTGAGGGGAGGCTATACAGAACTAAACCAAATGATTGCTGAGGTTTTACTTCTCTTGCAAACACGTTTTAATCCAATATGTAGGGGACAGAAAGGCCACTTATCTCAGGCAGTTTCAAAAAGGTAAATCTCTTCATAGGAAAAGGACCATGCTTTATCACATAAGCAAAACTAGACCCATCATCTGTGTATTTAGCTAGATACATACTCTAAAATTTAGGAGAGTTACTATAACAGGGCACAGGAAAATCTGACTATATAACATTGATTAAATTATTTAACTTCACTGAGACCCATTTACCTATTTTGGAGTGGAATAATAATACCTACCTCACAGGATTGTTTGGAAATTAAACTAAAATGTGTATAATGCCCTTTATATAATCTAGGGCCTGTAAAAGTACTTGTTAAATGATGGTTGCCCTCCTTCCTCAGCATTGCAAATTGTTTTTTTCCTAAATATCCACGTAGCCTCTTTAATGAAACATTATGAAAAGATAATTATGGGTGGACCTAGTATCTATTATAAGTTTAGGTAGAAAAGAGATACTTATATACTAGAATAATATACCCCGTTTAATCTTTTTCTACGATAAATAATACTTAGGTTGTGGTCTTATTATAACCATTTAGAAAAATTACCCCAAACCTGGAAAAAGCAAAAAGGAACCTGTGTATCTTTACAATGTCATATAAGAATAGTGTTTCACAGGCCTACGTAAAGAATTTTATAACTGTAGGTTAACATGGTAGAACTGCAAATGTCAAGAAGAGAAGATTAAAGGTTGTGGTTATAGTTCCCCATGACATTAACCAATTTGTCTCAAGTTTAGGAAAGTACTGTGGTCTGAACTACATATTTCTTCTCCTCTGCTTCTCTCAGTCAGCTTTACCATTTTACTGGGTCCCTCATTACAGAGCCAACTAAATTTGACAGGTATTCATTCCATATTTGTATGAGAGTCATGTTTTCTTAAAGCATTCATAGCACAGTTAATGAACCCATTCCAGTAAAACACAGCTGAAAGGAAGAGATAACTGAGTTAGTCTAAGATAAAAGGTAGAATGTCTGTTCTCAATAACAAGATAGCATGCTTAATGGTTTCCTAGGCACTATGCCTGAGAATAATCCTGCAATGAGTTGTCTTATTAAATTTCAAAATACTCTATAGATGTAACTTTCATTCCCATTTAATGGATAAAGAAGCTGAGACTAGGATGTTTAAGTGACCTCCTTAATATCACACTGTTTATGCAGTACAGGTGGCATTTAAAATTAGATATGACCAACACCAATGGCCACCCTCTTCACAATGAGGTAGGGAATCTTCAAGAAAAGAACCAAGCCCAGTTCAGGATATGGCCTGAGTGTCCCAGAGGCAACGGCCTGTGATTTTGGCCTCTTTGAGGATAGAGAAACCTTAGAAACTGATGAATTAAATTCAGTTATCACACAAATTTATTGTTCAAGGTGAAGAGAGATCATGTGATTTTTCTGACTAAATAAAATGGCCGAGTCAGAGGAGTGTATTACTTCTCTTGACTTCCTTCTAAAATCCTTTCTCCTCCTTCATATGATTTCCTTCCCAGGATGTAAGCTTCGCCTGTCAACCAACAAAGTCTAAGACTGTGTTCGCCCTCTGAAAAGACACACCTCTACATTCACTCAATAAGTCACACTAAAAATCCAGGTAAAAATGTCTATCTACAGAATGTCAGAAAGTTCATTCATTCCTCCAAACTGGTCATTTACTCCTAGGCAATTCATTAGATTTTTGACCCCAGGGCTTCTTTAGCATTTTTTTTTTTTTTTTACACATAATACCACCAAAGCTGGCCAAAGAAAGAAAACAAAACACCAGATGCTAAATTGTTTCTGATGACCATGCTAGACACTCTTCCTGTGCTCTTGAAAGTAGAGGCAAACACAGGAAAAGCCAAACACCTCTATTAAAGTACTAGGAGAGAGCTTAAAGGTCATGAAAAAGAACAAAAATGCTCAGAAAGCCCAACCATCAGGGATCACTGATTACAGATACAAACAGCTCAGGTAGAACCAGACATGCAGATATGCAATGGAATTTAGCAGAAATTTAATGCAACATCCCATTAGATGATGAAAAAGTGACACAGAGATAGAAAAAGGAAGTCTTCTCTTCAAAACTTCTCTGAGAGATGATCATTCAACCTCCCCTTTTTGATTTGTGCTCAGAGTGAGCCTATTTTAAGCAGATTTAAATTAGAATTTTGTCTGCTTATGTTTTGTTGAAATCTCTCTTCCTGGCAAAGATATTGCTATGAGTTTATGCTTTTGACATCCCATTTCATTCTAGACACAGCAGTGACAGAGAAAAGGTAAGACAAGGAAAGGGTACAGGGCTATTGGGGACACTTCTTCTTGGAGCAGAAACCAACAAAACACAAAGTGGCAAAGCTGAGATGAAGACTTGGAGCAACCTGGCTCCTGGTCCTGGAAGGAGCAGAGTCTGTCTCCTTACAATGGAGAATGAAAGTAATACAGCAGGAGGCTGTAATGGCCCTAGGCTCCCTCTTGGCAAAGAAGAAGAGATGTGGGACAAAGAACATGAATGACCCCTGTCCCAGGGAGACCTGTTGTGTCTGGAAGCAGCAGAAAGAGCCTGTCTCTGATTGATGCTTGGCCCAGCTTTCCACGAGCTCACTGATGTACCCCCACCCTCATCCCAGGGTGGGAGCCTTAGCCATCCATAGGAAACTCAGCTCTGGTTTGAAAGTTCTGGAAATAATTCGAAACTGCCTGAAAGGGATAGTGAAGTGATACAGAGATAGAAAAGTAAAATCAAACAACTCTCTCTGAAGATGAGCCTACAAAGAAAAACTCTAAACCACAGGAGGAATGCTAATTCTAAAATGTAAGAGGATTAATTTACTGCGGAGGAAATGCAAAAAGTACAAACGACTTTGAAAAGTTTCCCGTAACTTTCTTGACTTGATGCTGTTATCTTCTAGAGGCCTCTGATTGGCATAAGGCTTTGCCCTTATGCAGACCTTCCTAGACTCTGCTCCTGTTTGCTTTCTCAGTGGGAATTGTCAAGAATTCTGGTGATACTGCCACAAGGGTTCTGTGGGCATCTGTGGATCTCTCACCCTCTCCTCTCTTCCTACGTTTGGCCTACACAGCAAAGGAAAGGGTAGAGTTGATTTGAGTGTAAAGGTGTTTTGCTTTAAAAAGTGGAAAAATATTTTCTATCTCCGTTTTACAGTAGCCAAGTGATCCAATATTCAGCCTTTCCCTGAATACAAGCAGACAATCTTGTATTTCCCCATTATCAAATGTCTCCTGCCTTTTATGGAACAGATTTTTTTGATGAACAACTAAAGTTAGGCTGATACTGCTCTGGCTAAAGTGGGTCTCTCTTTCCTTGGCTCAGCCCTGAAGAGTTTTTCTTTTTCAACAGCTATGGATTACTGCTCAGTAAAAAAGCACCCTCAGAAGGTAGCATCAGGCAGTGCAGCAGCGGGGCACAGGACACAGGAACCCCAGTGGGGCTGAGGCCCAGCTCCACCACAAACTGGCTGGGGAGTCACTTAATCTGTTTTTCCCTCCTCTGTGAAATAAGAATAATAACAGTACCTGCATCTTGGTGTTATTTTACCTATTAATATATGTGTCAGCGCTGGGGTTGTGGCTCAGTGGTAGAGCGCTCACCTAGCACATGGGAGGTGCCGGGTTCAATCCTCAGCACCACATAAAAGTAAATAAGTAAATAAAAGGTATTGTGTCCAATTACAACTAACAAAATAAAAATAAATAAAAGAAATGTGTCGACATGGCTTAGCATGTGCCTCACAAAGACGAAATGGTCAATGAACATTAGCTACTATGACTCGCCAATATTTTTCTTCTTCATCAATAAAGATCATTTACTAGAAGTAAAATACCCACTTCCTTTGGCTCCACTTAAAGAAAAACCAAGCCCTAAGTTTTCAAATCAGCCCCACCTTTGTCTGACATCAGCAGCTTTTCTTTTGAAGCCTATGAAGAACAATCCAAACCCAGCTGCCCTGCAGTACAGGGACTATAAAGAAGAGAATGGACAGCAATACACCTACAAGAGCAGGAGAGATACAGGATCTCGTGTAATAATCTGTCTTTGTCCTTATAAGAGCAAAACTTAAAAAAAAAAAAAAATCTCAGGCCCCAAGGCTGTTACTGAAGCTCTGCCTTCATGTAATCAGCAACCTGCTCCTGTTGGAATTCCAGACTGCCGACTGCAGGCTCGTGGGCAGCTGCTCGTTTTGCCAGGGCTTTACCATCCCAAATTACCTCCACCAGCTCACCCAGCACCCTTCCAATTAAATTATTTAATTCATTGCAACACATAGCACCTGGCATATTTTCCACCAGAACTGAAGAAAGTTATCTTGATTGGGCCAAATCATTTTCCAGCTTGCAGAATTCATTCCTTACTTCGTTAAGAAAAGCAAGGCTGACAGATTGAGAATACCAGGTCCTCCGCCTCGGCCCTGAGCAGTCCTGCCGCAGCAGCTGGCCAATGCTGCCACCACCTGTCCGTTTTCAGCTTTAGCAATATTTTGAGCAATATTTTCCTTCTTCAGTATACTAACATTAGACGTGGCTGAGGGATGCAGATGACAGTGAACTGGCATTTTCTTCCAAAAGAACAGATGCACGTTGCACTGCCTGGTGGTGTATGCAGTAGAAAAGTAAAGGGCACTCATACTGAGAAACCAAAGGAGAACAAGGGCAACATTCCTGACTCTGAAAGAAAATCAGGGCACAGCCTTGGACCCTTCCACAGCCAGCCCTGTATATCCGTGGGCTCTGTTTCTGAGGATTCAACAAACCGTGAATTAAAATCTTCTGAAAATACAACTGGGTCTGTGCTGAACATGTGTGCATTTTCTTGTCATTATTCCCTAAACAATACAATAAAA